ACGAGTGCGATCCCGACGATGATGACGATGACGATGACGATGACGATGATGATGACGGTGACGATGATGATGTTGGCGGTGATGATGACGACGATTACGACGATGCGGAGGAGGAGGAGGAAGAGGACTGCAGAGGATGAGGAACGAAATGCGCCGAGCAAGGATGATGAGAAGGAGGAGGGGGAGCTAGGTTAGATGAGCGATTTCATTTATCATCCATGCCATCTTCATTGATTCATTGGTGTTGCATTTCCTTTGGCCGCAATTGCAATCGAGGTCCAAAGCGCCCTTTGAAGCGCCGCTGGCGCCAGGCAGCCACGGGTAACCCTCCCTGGGGCACGGCCGAGTACGATCGGAAGATCGCGGCCAATTAGAAGCACAAACAAAGAGTGAAAACGCTAAAGGCAAAGGAGGCCAAGCGCCGTGCGAAAGCTAGGTTTGACAAGGCCGTGGACAAAGCGGTCGCCGAGGCGTTGCGGCAGAAAAACAGGGCGACGAAGCAGCGCAACGACCTACACGCGATGTACTTGGAGACCAAGGACACGGGTGCATATCAAACTCCACTGCCCCGCTGCGCTTTCCCTCAACAGCTGCTGCTGCGCTCCGCTGCTGCCCTGCTGCTGCCTTGCTGCTGCCCTGCTGCTGCCCTACTGCGCCCTGCTGCTGCCCTGCTGCGCCCTGCTGCTGCCCCGCTGCCCCCACACGCACGAAACCTAGTGTAAAACCCGTAGGACCAGCTGGAGCAAGCCAACACCGCCCTCTTCGACCAGAAGAAGCTGCTCTGGAAGCAGGAACGGGAGACCAACTTGAGGAACAGGCAGAGACAGAAGGCTGAAGACCTGCTGCCCTGCTGCCGCCCTGCTGCGCCTTGCTGCTGCCCTGCTGCGCCCTCTGCCCGTTCCTCCAGTTGGTCTTCAGGAGGCGTTGGCCGCCGCGGAGAAGCGCCTCCGGGCGCGGGAGGAGTGGTGGGGGCGCTTCGCAAACGCGGTCGCGGACCGCCTGCCCTCCTGGGTGGCGAAGAAGGTGTGGCTCTGGCAGAAGCACCCGCCCAAGTACCGCACGAAGTACTGCTGCGGGCAGTAGGCGGGGGCGCTTTGCCCGCCCTCCCGCCGACGCTAGCGCGGGGCTAGACAAGCACGCCCGCCGCCCGCGCGAGCTGGGGCTGGCAGGGGCAGCTGGGGAGAGCAGAGGGAGCGGCGAGAGCGCGCAGAGACGGGACTGGGGGGAAGGAGGCGGCCGCGACCCCGCTAGGCAGCGGAGAGGGGCGGCGCACGGAAACTACAACAACAACAACAACAACAACAACAACTAATAATAACAACGACGCCAACGCAAGGTCAATCAGAAACAGCAACGCAGCAGAAACGGCCACGCAGACAACCGACAGGAACAACGACACGACGCAACAACACCGCGCCGACGGTGGCAAACGCAACGGCGAATCAGACACCAACGCAAGGTCAATCAGAAACAACAGCACAGCAGGAACAACGACGCAGCCATCCAACGGAAACAACGACGCAACGCCACAGCAGCGCACCGACGGCGGCAAACAGAAAACCAGAACAGCAACGACCACGACATTGACAATCGGTCGTTCAGAAACAACACCACCGCGGAAACAATAACGGAAACAGCCGACATAACAGCGACAGGACGCAGCAAAAAAGCGGACCGACGGCGGCAAACAGAAAACAGCTGAGCCCCGTGCAGGGATCAAGGGCATCCGAAAAGTTGGATGCCCTCATCCACTCATCGAAAGCGATGCCGCCACGACAGAAACGACAACGGAAACAGCTGACATAAACAGCGGCATAACGCAGCCACATCACACCAAAGGCGGCAAGCAGGAAACAGTTGGGCCCCTTGCAGGGATAGGGGGCATCCGAAAAGTTGGATGCCCTCATCCATTCATCGACAGCGATGCCGCCCCCCCGCAGCCCATTTTGGCTCAGTGCGCATTTGCTGGACCGACCGTCTAAGCCACCGCTCTGCCCCCGTCGGCGATGGGGAAGAGCGCGATCAAGCGCCCCGCCGCCGCCCCCGCGCCGAAGAAAAAGCCTGCGGGAGTGTTCAGGCCGTTTCCGTTGCGCAAGAGGGGCAAGGACAGAATGAGCCAGCACCGGGAGAAGGAGAACAAGAAGGTCGAGTATGTGCGCCACGGCAAGAAGACCCAGAAATCGCGCAAGGAGCGCGAGACGTGGCCCCGCACTTACGACGATTTCTTCGGGAAAACTGCGGACCAGATGGTCGACATGCTCCTCGAAGACGGCGTCTTGCTTGACTGGGAAGGCCGCGCCTGCCCGCACTGCGGCGTCGGAACCCTGGGCGCGCGGGCGCAGGATGACAGCCGCGGCCCGCATTGGCGGTGCAACAGTGGGAGGCTGTGCGGCAACACCGTGCACCCGTGTTTTGCCCACCCTGTATTCAAGTCTGGCGGCGGCCGCCAATCGTCAAGTTTGTCGACGAAGGCAAAGGTCCTCTTCTGCCTCACGCTCGGCATGACCACCGCCCAGATACACCTGTTGACAGGAGTCAACCACAAGATGGTGGAGGACATGAGCAGGGCCATGGCCGTCGTGCGGCAGACCTACGTGGAGAGGAAAGAGAAGGACATTGTCTTCGGCGACCACGCCAAGAGGCGCTGGTTCGACGTTGAGGCGGACGAGTCGGTCTTCCGCGCCCAGCTCTCCGATGACGGCCTTTCCAAGACGCGGGAGCAGTGGGCGGGCGTCGTCGAGCGCGGGCGCCCAGAGAGCCTTGTTCTGTGGAAGACCCAGTCCGACGGCACCGTGGCCAACGCGCCAGGCCCAGGCGCCATCAAAAAGACCGACTGGGCGCCCTTCCTGAAGGGCCGCCTGGAGGACAGGAAAATGATCCTGCACTCTGACGGAGCCCGCAGCTACAAGATGCGCGCGTCGGGCCTCGTGCACGACAACGTGGTGCACTGCAAGAAGCGGAAGAAGATCGGCGGGAAGTGGGTGTGGTTGAAGCCCATATACTCGAAGGTTGTTACCCACAAGTTGCCCGACGGTTCCACGATCAGGGTCAAGGCGGGGACCCAGATTATCGACCGCGCATGGAGGTTCATCAAGACCCTCATCGGCACGCGGTCAGACCCTCCAGGCAGCAGGCATCTCGCGGCTTCTGTTCGCTCGGCCCAGTTCGAATATTGGAACAGGGGCGAGGACCTGTGGGCGGCGACCGCGAACGCTATCTGGGAGGTCATGGACTCGGCGTACTGAGGGCATGCTCCGCCAGCGCGGGGTGCAGCCAACGGCCGTCGCTGCCCCCGCTTCCGCTGAAAGATATAAGCATATGTTTAGAATGTGTGGTAACGCTCTCACCGCTGATATGGACCGCCCGCTAGCGAAAAACAGTTGCATTCACAAGTGCCGTCGCCAGCCTTGCCACCTCGCAGCAATGACAACGTCCTTGCTGACATCCGTCTGTTCGTAGCTGTTTGGGCTCCCTCAGAGTGACCTGGCATTCCTGCCCCGCCACCAGCCCACGGCACATCTCAAGCCATGGCTTTCGAGTACGCCTTCATCCAGAACGTCGCGCCTGGCAGCCCCATGCCGCCCGACTCAGCGCGGCGCAAGATTGGGCTTGCGCAGTCTCAGCGCCTGGCCGCGGGCGAGGACAGGGGCGGCGGGGACCCAGCGTTGGTTTTTCTTTGCGTATACACGGGTGGTGCTATTTGTTTTTGATTTATCATTGAACCCCCCACCGCCCAACTTCGCATTGGGGCGGTGAGCAGTGTGCTTTCGGTTGGCCCCAGGACAAGTTCACCGTGTGCTTCTGGCCCAACTTCATGCAGTTCCAGAAAAGTGGGATCCCCTTTTTGGCGCCAGGCTTCGCGGGCCCGCTGTGGGTGTCGGGCGACCCCGCAGTCGGCGACGTGCTTGTCCGCGAGTACCGCTGCTTCGAAGTGGTGGCGGAGTGCATACACCACGATGACCGCGACCGCACGTGTACCGTGGCGCTCACCTCCACCGACTACCCGCACTGGTACGACGCGGCGGAGGTCGAGTGGTCCACCACGTGGAAAAGGATGGAATGGATCGCGCAGCAGTCGCTCGGCCTACCCCCCCACCGCACAGCGGTCTTTGACGCGGGGCGCTCGCCCGCGCGCGCGGCCGATGATTTGGGGGCGGTCGGGCATATCTCGGCGGCGGAGATCGATCGGTGATCGCGGTACTAGCCATTGTCCTTGATACGCTATTGCAGCTGCTGCCGCGACGTTGCTTCTGCCGCTGCAACTGCCGCTGCGAGTTCCATTGATGCCGCGGCGGCTGCTATTGTCATTGGCATTGCCACCCGCGCCCATATCCCCGCCCCCATTGCCCGCCCTCTCTCCCCCTCCCACGCCGCCGCTGGGGCTGGCACGACCGAGGTGGGCGGCGCGCAGCCGAACCGCCGCATGCACGCGGGGCCGTTGTTCGGCCTCCGCGGCTTGCGCCGCCGCCTGCAGTGACTGAGTGAGCGGGCGGCCACTTCGGCGGGGGGCAGCCAGCGGCCAACGCTGCCCCTCCGTGAGTATAGATACTTATCGATTCCAAACTGCCCGTCCCGATTGAGCCGCGCGGTGTGCATGAAGCCCAAGAGCAGGGCACTGGCCAGCAGGATTCGCTCATTAACTCTTGACGTCAATACTAGCGAAAACAATTGCATTCACCAGTGCCGTCGTCATGAAAATCTCCTTCGTGCTCCCATTATGTCTCCCCCCCATCGTCGGCCCCCCCATGCTTGCCACTCTGCTGATCGAGAGCTTCGCCCAGCGATAGACCCAGCGGGGCGCGGCTCGCTCGCCCCAGAACAGCCCAAAACAACGATTGGTCCAAGTTGGTTCACGGTGTCCCGAGAGTCCCTGGCGGGGCAGCGTTTAGTTGCGAGCGTTTTCTGGCGCTTCTCGCGGCCCTTTCGTCGTCGCCGCCAGTGGCTCAAGTGACATCCGCTAAAATGTTGCCCCAAGCTCCTGCGTGCGACCGCTGCGTGCAATGGCGAGCCCCACGGCTGGCGGCGTCAAGCCCATGGGGGAGATCATCGGCGGCGATGCGTCTTGCACCGACCAGATCAAAAACACGTGGTTGCACATGGCGGCGGTGCAGACGTACAAGCAGCTGGGCAAGCCCGAACGCTTCCAGTCCGACCCGCCCGCTGCAGTTTGCCTCCGCGACATGCCTCTCCAGTACGCGGAGCAATCTGTGACCATCAAGCATTTGGTGGACTGGGTGGCAGTGGAGGATGGCGCCGTGGACCACTTGGACAGCGTCGACGTGTACGACGCCATGTGCGGGGGTAACTACATGGCGCTGCCTCCGCCATTCAAGCCGAACAAGGACCCAGGAGAAATCGCTTTTACCATGCAGCTTTACATATTGCCGAAGGACCCCAACGGCGACCAGCACGTCCTCAAGTACGTCAGGTTCCAGGACAAGGTTCGGACCGACATCGCCAAGGAGATCTTCGTCGCGGGCACGGCGCTCTCCGTCCATTGGGGGAACTCGAAAGACATACGTACGCCGCTCAAGCTCTTCCTTTACATGATGGAGAGGTTGGGCGGGGTGCAGATCCGCCATTGGGCCCAGCCGTCCGTGGTCGCAGCCATTGCGGGTGGCGGCTACGACAAGGGAAAGCGAACGGCTGGCTTCCGTTTCATAGAGGAGTACGGCCCGAAGGCGAACAAACGCAACCAGTTCGTGGAGTGGACCGACGAGATGATTCACGACGAGAGCTCGCCGATCTTCGGTTGGCAAGCGTCTGAAGTCAAGGAGTCGCTCCGCAATTACGCCGCGGGTTCTGCTGGTGCGAAGACACTCGAGCGTTGGGCGGTCACGCTCAAGCGCTTCCACCATTCGTGTTCGACAACATCGTTGTCCCCATCCTCAAGAGCCACGACGTGCACGGGACCATGTGGATCGGCAAAACGAGGGTCGGCAAATCCACTGCGTCGAAGACCATCGGCTTCGCGATCTCAGCCTACCAAGTAGACAAGAGAGATCGTGCCGACCTCCGCCCGAGCATCGCCACGACCAAGAAGATCGACTTCTTGCGCCTCGAGCCTGGGGCCGTGTTCAAGCCCGCCATCGCGGACGACACTGCCCTCGCGAAGTGGCCCCCCGACGAGATCAAGGCATTCCTCGACCCTGCCGAGGAGGACGCGCTGCTGTGGGCGAGGCGGCAGGGCGCAGACAACGCGCGCCATTAAAAAGAAACCACGAAACACACAACAACGACCATTGTTTTTTGTACGTTTTGATCTGCGCCGTTGTCCGCGCGCTGCGCAGGTGGGGTGGCGCCTCCTTCGAGCAGAACCAGTCTCGCCAGATCTGCGTCAACCCGTACAATGACGAGTTCGAGAGGTCGGTCCGTTCCATCCGCCTTGACAAGGAAGAGGTCGCATTCGCAGACTTCCTCAAAATCATCGAATGCAATTTCGATGGCGAGAAGCAGGGGAGCTACCAGATGGCGGACGTGGAGGCGTACCTCGCGAGGTCCAACATAGTGCTTCTCACTGAGGGCTGGATGTACATGCGTTTGGCGTCCACGACAAAGGATCCAGCACCCCGCTTCCCATGGCCAGTTCCAGAGAAGCCAGACCTCTTTACGCCCGAGACCACCCCTATCCTGAAGCGCTTCAAGAAGGACCAGACTTTCGCGCCGCCCGACTACGACGTGACCATGAAGTGGGCCGTGGCCGCCATGAAGAAACTTGCCCGCGGCGATGACATCGGGCGTTCGTCGACGGTCCGCGGCCCCATGCTTTTCAACCAGGAGGCGCCCCCGAGGTACAATTTCCCAGATTTGGACATTGACTTGGACGTCGCCAGCGCAGCCGCGGCCCCCGCGCCCGCCCGTCCAGTTAACCCAGATGAAGATGACGAAGCCTTCGGCCACGGCGCGGGCGCGGGCGCCGCCGCCGACCCAGCCGAAGAACCAGACGCGTTCGGCTTCGGCGGCGGGATGGACGGCGACGAGGCCCCCCCCGCAACGGATGCCGCTTCGGCGCCGCCCGCGGCTCAGGTGCCCATCAAGCGAGAGCCAGGGGCTTTCCGCTTTCGGCTCAAGAGCGCAGAGGGTCGCGGCGTCATCGATTTGAGCACGCCGACCCCCAAGAAGAGGCGCTCGTCCATCGAGGATGAGTTGGCGCAGCTTCTCGACGAGGACGGGGTAGTTGGCACCGCCGCGGCGAGCTCGACGGATGGCCAGCCGACGGCGGCGCGCCAGTGATGGTCGACGCTGTAGAGAGCGACGATCGCGCGGCATCTGCGTTTGCGGCTGGAGGCCGCTGAGTGGGTTGCCACTCCGCAGAGAGGGGGCAGCCGACGGCCAACGCTGCCCTGTTGAAGCTACACGATTTGATTATCATCCTCCTGCTCTTGAAAAAATACCGTTTACCAGATTTTCCAGATTTCCAAGATCTTCCCAGAGATGGCCCTGGTGAAAAACGCGGTGTTTTCCTGATATGCCTGACCTTCCCAGGGATTACCCATGAGAAAATGCTGCGTTTTCCGGATATTCCTGATATTCCTGACATTTCCAGAGACTACCCAGGCGCCGAGGCCTCCTGGGGCTGCCGAAACATTGCCCTGGTGGAAAACGCTGCGTTTTCCTCACATTCCTGACCTTCCCAGGGATTACCCCTGAGAAAATGCTGTGCGTTCCTGATATTACTGATATTCCTGACATTTCTAGAGACTACCCTGCAGGCTCACGGTAGTCTCTGGAAATGTCAGGAATATCAGGAATATCAGGAAAACACAGCGTTTTCTCAGGGGTAATCCCTGGGAAGGTCAGGAATATCAGGAAAACACAACGTTTTCCAACAGGGCAATGTTTCGGCAGCCCCAGCGCCTGGGTAGTCTCTGGAAGTGTCAGGAATATCAGGAATATCAGGAAAACACAACGTCTTCTCAGGGGTAATCCCTGGGAAGGCCAGGAATATCAGGAAAACACAGCGTTTTTCACCAGGGCAGTGTTTCGGCAGCCCCAGGAGGCTTCGGGAAGCCCCAGGAAGCGTTTCGGAAGACTCGGGAAGCCCAGGAGGCCTCAGGAAGCCCCAGGAAGCCCCAGGCCCTCCCGCCCAGGGCGCGCGAGGAAGAGGAGTAGCAAAAAAATAAATATGTATGATCATGTGGGGGGGGGGCTACCATATATATATATATATATATATATATATATATATCCATGTATAGTCGGGTTATATTGGCATTTAGAACTCGAGGCGAACTTGTATAAGGATAAAGTTCAAGCCAATCGAGCATGGCCTTGCGGCCAACAAAACTACGAAGCGCCTGTCATGTAGAACCTGCGGCCCAAAATCCTGTGGCCATCGATCCCGACGAAGCTCGTCGTATACGTCGCCCAAGTTGTACTTGGGGTCCAGCCGTGGAATCGATCGTTGCACTGCAAGTCGCGGATGAATACGAACTCGTCGTTGTTCTCCGCGATGTACATCCAGCACTTGACGCAGTAGCTCCAGCACCTTGGGCCCCATTGGGTGTCCTCCAGGTTCTGGCGCCACCACGTTGCGCAGTCCTCTTTCGCACGCGCCCGCTTGGAACGCGGGCAGTTCAAAACCTCACGTTTAATTTGATCGGAAAAGCAACCCTTCACAACCATCTCAAGGTACCCCACCCGACATGTAAATCCAATACAGCTTTTTTTCAGCTCGCGGTTCTGCCTCGAGGCTTCGCCCATGTCCTTGATTGCCTGCAACATCTCAAAATTTGAGCGGCTGCGCGCTGTGAACGTGGCCTCCAGCGCTGACCGCAAGCATTCCTCAAAACCATCGCCCGTGCTCTTGTCCTTGTCTTTCCCTTTGCCTGCGCCTTTCTCTGCCTGCAAGTTGCCCTTGCCTGCGCCTTTCTCTACCGGTGGCGAGCGGGATCGGTCGCGAGCGCAACCCTGACATGCGCGCTGAGCGCGCGGAGAGTACTCGAGCCAATTCGGCCACTCACGAGAGAGCTGCGAATCGTCGTTGTCCTCTTCATCGCCCTCCTCCCTCCCTGCCTCCTCCTGCGCCTTCTTTGGCGCGCGCACGCCCCGCTCTCGATATCTTGCGCTGCCCGTTGCGAACACGGAATCTGCCGCCGCACGACGGGGCGCGACCATCCTCGCGCCCCTAGCGCCAACCGCATGAAAACACACTCGCTAACCCAGACCGCAAGGCGCGATTATCCTGGCGCGGCCGCTGGATGTGGATTTTGTTTTTTGGCTTGCTGCCCGCCCGGCCCAAAGGCCCGAACGCGCCTCCGTAAGGAAGCCCACCAGGAGACACGCCCGTTGGGCCGGGGAAAAAAACCGCGCGTGGCTTTTTGTTTACTGCCTTCAAAACCTCCACCGCCGCACGATGAGACATCCGCACGCTGCGAGTTCACCCTCGCATGGCTCTCGTCGGCGCCCCCTACAATGTGGCGACTTTGAAAAGAAAGCGCTCCGCATTACGAATCCCTCTCCTTCTCTAAACCCCCCTCGCCCCTCCTGCGCCCCCCATGCGCGCATCGCGGCAGCTCAACTAGCCAGCACATAATCCCGTACACGCGTGGGCCTCGCCGCCGCCCATCGGCGAAGTGCGATGTTGACCTGCGCAGCAAGACGTTGCACTATATGTTCGACAAGGATACCATCAGGAAACATTCGAGGGGGACGCCCATACGTATTCCTGCGATGTGGGGGGACGCCCTTGCATCATCTGGATGTGCAAAAATGACGCTGCACACGCAAAAAAAAACAACTGGAAGTCTGTTCGTGGCGCGGCAACAGCCACAAGCCACTAGCCGAACGCCTGCCACCACTGACGCACTACAAGAACCCCTCACTAATCCGTTTCGCCGTCGCATTCGGCCCCTCCTGGCGCTCGGGGCCGTTCGCAGCGCTAGAAGTCGAAGCCGCGGCGGCGTCGCTCATCTTGGACAGGCTGCCGGCGATTATCTTGGGGTCCTCTCAGACCTGTTCGAATGGCAGGATACAATGAGCAACATGCAGGATGAAACCGCAGGATCCAATACTGGACATTCTTCACTATTCCGTAATCCCCCTGTTTTGCATCAAGTCCCTTTTGCATTCCTTGAGGTACCTTCTTCCCCCGTAGGACACCTCCCTCCGTCATGTCTCATTCTTTCTTTTCTTCTGTCTCATCCTTCCTCCGTATTTCCCGCCCTCCTTGTGTCGTCCTTCCTTCTCCCCTCCTCGCTGGCCCTTCTCCTCGCTTCCTTTTCCCATCCTTCCTCTCTTTCCTCATTGATACGTTCCCCAACCCCGATTCAACAAAGACGCCCGTCTCCGCCGTCGGGAACGAGCCGATTTCCCGGGCGATCCGGGTCGTCATGGCCTCGAACCCCCCAGGCGGCACAGCTGGAGCTACACCATGCCAGCTCGTCCGCTTCTGCCGTTCCTCGCTGAGCCGCAGTTCGTTCAGAGTTCGCTCAGAGTCTGATCAGACAAGTAACCAGAAGAATAAAAAGAGAGAGAGAGAGAGAGAGAGAGAGAGAGAGAGAGAGAGAGAGAGAGAGAGGGAAAGAGGAAAGGAGACAACACCTAACACAACACAAGGACAAGACATATGGAAAATCAGAAAACGAATGAATTCATAAACCCTAATCTCCTTCATCACACCAGCGAGGGCGCCACGCTCCTTCCCGCTCTCGAATCCAAGACTGACGCCGTCCTGGAAGCCCTGCGCGTAGGCACTGCGCCACACCGCCGATTCGCTGGACGCCCGCGCTTCTGTCACCACTGCCGTTGTTGCACCCGTTGCTGAGCCCGTTGTTGCCGCATTCGCTGGGACCGCTGCATCTGCGGAAGCTGCCACCGCCACTGCCATCTGATGCTGCTGCCACCCCCACTGCAACTGAAGCTGAGGCTGCAGTTCGTTTTGGGCGCTTCCTTTCCGGAGGACTGGGAGTCTTTGGGACCCCTGGCAAGCCCTGGGCCTTGCGGTCACCTGGCGGCGGCGCGGGCGGCGCTGGCACAGGCATTGGCGGCGGCGCCTCGGCTCGCCCGCCACGCTGCCCATTTGGCAGAACCCAAGTTGACGTTGGCCGCACCAGCACTGGGGGTGGCGGCACTAGGGGCGCTGGAGGAAACTGCGGAACTGCCCAGTGCAGCTCACCGCGCGGCTGCCCTAACTGTGATTGTGGTGGCGGATGCTGCGGAAATGTTGGCTGTAACTCCACAATCAGCCGCGCTGATTGTAGTTCTGGTGGTGGCGGATGCAGCGGGGGCTTCGGCTGCCGCTGATCGCGCGGGCACGCTTTCTCTGGTCGAGGTCCCTGTTGTCTCCGAGGCGATGGTTGCACCGATGGTGCCCTGTGGCAAGGCGCTCTCTTTGCTCGTATCGGCTGTCGCTGCGGAGCCACTGACTGAGGTTGGGGTGTCTGCTGTGGATCCGGGTGCGGCCGCGGCGTCGCTGTCTGCGGCTGCGCCGCACGAGTGCCCCCATCCGCTGCAGACAACGTCCACGGGCCCCAGTTCTCATCATCATCGGCAGCAGCAGCATGCGGCGGGAGCACTTGCACATCGGCAACGGCCGCCGAAGCCGACGCTGACGCGGCGCCCAGCGCCGCCTCATCACCCATGCGTCGCTACTCCCGCCCTGGCCGAAAAAAAGGCGCTCCTCATGGGCTCCGCGCTGGAGCCACAACGGTTTCGGCATTGGGGAGTTTCTGAAGGAGGACCTGCGTCGAGCATGGCATCGCGACACCTCAGCGCTCGTCGCGCAGAAGACAAAAAATCGCACGTGCTTTTTTTTACTGGTGTCGCAGAGTCCACCGCCGATCGCTGAGACCTCCGCACGCTGCGGGATCATTCTCGCGCCCCCCCCCCCCCCCCCCCCAGGACCCATGGAAGAAGATCACTCTCCAACACAGACCGCGAGGCGCGATTATCCTGGCGCAACCTTGGAGTGGACTGCGGGGACGACCCTGCCGTCGGTATTTGAAGCCACAGCAACACTGGAACAATCCTGCAAGAAGCACTTGGTTTTCCTGAGGCGCGGGAAAGGAAGCCTCGTTGCCAAAGGAGCAGCCGCCGCGCGAAACGCGCCCTTCCTCGCGCCCCTGGAACAGCAGCACGCAAACACATTGCCAACCCAGACCGCTAGACACGGAAAAGCCGCTGTCAAACCCAATTGAGCAACTTCGAATAGATTGCGGAAAAGCCGCTGTCATCGAAACTTAATGTCACAGTGACACCCGAGCACCCCAACGAAACTCGCATGAAAGGTCTTGTCGGAGGAAGGCCTGGCTGCCAAAGGATCTTGCGCCGAACGAGCGTGACCATCCTCAAGCCCCTACCACGACCGCACAGAGAATGCACACTCACCACCAGACCGCAAGGAGCGATAATCCTCACACGACAATTGGGTTTGGATTTTTTTTGATCTGGTCTCGATCTGTCCAAAGCCTCCAACGCGCCTCCGAGGACGACACCCTCCAAGAGGCACCCCCCGTTGGTCCGGAGGACAAAAAACCGGCCTCAAAACCTCCACCCTGCGCGAAGGGACGTCCGCACGCTGCGAGATCATCCTCGCAGGGCTTTTGTCGGCGTCCTCCTACAACGTTGCGGCTAAGAAGAGACAGAATCTGCATCACTAGTCCCTCCTCCTTTTCTGAACCACCTCATGCCTCCTCCTTTCCCCATACTTGCGTCGCAGCAGCTCAACTCGCCGACGCTTGATTCCGTACACGCGTGAGCCTCGCCGCAATGCGTCGGCGACGTCCGATCTGCACCTGCGCTTCAAAAACGTTGCACCGTATCTTCGGGAGGAGGGGAGGGGGAAGAAGAAACAAAACACACACACACACACACAAGCCAGCATATGACGGGAACGCCCCTACGTATGTATACATGTATACATACATGCGCATATACATGCACACATATTCATATATATACATATATATATATATATGTATACTTGCGTTGCGGGGGGACGCCCCTGTATCATCTGGCTTATATATGGGACGCCCCTGTATCATCTGGCGTATATCTGTACATGCCCGGCACACGCAAAAACTAATTGAGATCTGCTCGTGGCCGCTGTCGCTGGCGCCTCATCATCATCCGCTGTCGCTGGCGCCGAATGAACACACCACGAGCCAATTCTTGAGCCCAAAGACACGCTGTCGAATGGCACCACGCAGTGCCACCTCTGTGCACGCATGCCTGCCTATGTTATGTACGCGTGTGTGTACAACATAAGATTGCATGTGCTTCGGTATATATATATATATATACACACACATATGTTTATGCATGTATATACGATCATTAGTACATACAAACGTACCAAGTTGCTGAGGGTGGACCTGATGCGAGGCCGCAGCAACCGGCGGCAATTTGGCGCGGCGACATGGGGGGCCAGTGCACAAGAAAAAACCACGCGCGAGATAGCGAGAGCCAGATTGTTAATGCTGCACGGACCCCCCCCACACCCAAGACCTTCCCAGATATCCCAAGGGGTCGGCGGTGTGTCGTAAGCCCATGAATCACGTGTGGAGAAGTATTTACTGTAAAATCCTTCATAATAAATCATTATGATATAATCCTGATTCCGAAATTCTCAGTGAAAAAGCCCTTAGTCTGGAATCCTGATTCAGGAATATTCGTTCAGAAATCCGTACTGCTGAATCCTTAGCACGGATGCCTTGATGAGAAACCTACACAAGGAATAAGGAATTCTCAGAAACGACCTCGATCTTACACCTCGGCCCGACTGTACACAAAACGAGGGAAGCGCCCCTCGAAGGCAGCAGCGCGTTCAACGAAGCCTTCCGAACCTCGATGTGTTCCGCTGGTCGCCAGTCGCACTCGCAGGATGCTCCCAGATCGCTCCGAGGCGGCGCCGCGTGCCCTCCGCCTCCTCCGCCTCCTCCGCCTCCTCCTCCTCCTCCTCCTCCTCCTCCTCCTCCTTTTCCTCCTCCTGAACTGCCACACGAGTGGAAACACAAGTTGGCGGTGGAGACGATGATGATGATGATGATGATGATGATGATGATGATGATGATGATGATGATGATGATGATGATGATGACGACGATTTGCTCCAAAAGCCGACTTCTGCCAGAAAATTCCAGTCCGATGACGAGACGGTGCGTCGAGCTGACCCTGGCGAGGCGGGCACCAGGGGGATACTGTCGGCCCTAAGCCGGGAGAACATCCCTCAAGAACATGTGGCCCTCCGTCGGCCAAAACAAACAGAACATCCAGGGGGTCCCCCCCCAGGATGCACAAGAACACCCAACAAGCACGAAGAACACAAGGGTAGCCTCCCCGAACCGACCTCGATCTGTTGCCTCGGTCCGATCGTACTGTCTCGGAGAAGGGGGAATGGAGCGGAGTCGGCGACACGTCGCCGGCGAGAGGCCCCAGGCAGCGAAAAACCGCACCCTCCCTGGGAAGGTGGGGCATCGGAGTCCCGATCGGCGATGAAGGGGCGATTCGTGGTCGAGGCTTCCCCCTATGGGCATGTGTCCCCCCCTGTTGCCGCCCCTGATATAATCTGGCCATATTTTACGCCACGAAAACGCATACGCAGACACCCGCGGAAGAATTCTGCCTGTACCTCCAGGGAGGGTGGCGGTGTACAAAATCGCTGGCTCACGATAGTGCTGTACGCACCACCACCCTCCCTGAGGCCCAGGAATAATCCATTAGAGGGTGTCTGTGTATACTTTTCTGCGGCGGATAATCTGGCCTGGTGTCAAGCGCCACAGTGTTGGCAGTGGCATGGGGACCAGCCGCCTGCCTGTGGACACAAGTGCCTAGCCTACCGAAGCGATGAGCATCTCCCTGGCGCCAGCCACGCGAGGAGCTGGGCCAGAAAACGAAGGGCCCGGAGAGAGGATGGCCTGGACCTGTGCCGACTGGAGGTCTTCATCAGCACTCCTCCGAAGGCCGTCCAGGGGACCTGGGGCCGTCGGCAGCTGCTCGAGATGAGAGCAGGTCCCCAGGGGGGGGCCGGGAGCGGGCCGCCAGAGGTCTGGTGAGCTCTGCCGAGTCTGCTTTCCGGCGGCGCGCCGACGGGGGTGGGGCGACGGGGGGGCGACCGTCTCCCGGATCAGCCGCAGAACGAACAAGGCCATCCTTCGAGGAGGGGGATCGACTACAGAATTGATTTGCCTCCAACTCGCCTTTCACGTCGAGTCTGCTGACAAAGTACGCAGAGGTCCCGTAGGTCTACGAAAGCTCTACGCGTTTCCACGGATCCGAAGAGGAAAATCAATTGTGGGATACAGTGGGGGCTCGGCCACAAGAAACCTCCGCAAGAAACACAATCCTGAAATCCGCGATCTGTTCAGTGAAAACCCAAATTCGTCGATCGAAAATCGTCAAGATCTTATGGGGGGCCCATCGAAATCCAAGAAACCCAGGGCACCCTGGCAAAATCCAACTGGTTTCTTGGCACGCGCCCACACTGCAAATCAATTCCGTAGTCGATCCCCTATTCGAATCCCCTCCTTCACAGAATGAAGACGAGCCCTGGGAACCCAGAAAACCGGCCAGGAGGAGGAGGAGGAGGACCAGTGTAAACCAAAGAGTCATCAACGATGTTGGAATTAAGCATCCCTCCATGTTCACTGCGAAAGTTGGACCGCCAAAATGCAAGACGCGCTCGTCAAAAAACGTCGGCAGACCCGAGTTCTGGCGCACTCGAGCCTTACGCTTCACGAGAGGATAGAAATGGAGGATGGAGGATGAGGAGGATGGAAGAGAAGGATGGAGGAGGAGGAGGAGGAGGAGGAGGAAGAGGAGGAGGAGGCCAAAGTTCCGCTCAGAATCGGAACCTGGACCCATCCTGAGATCCATCTGGCGCAATGTTTCACCCCGGATCTGTTTTTCACGGTCCCTGGGCCCGAAAACGGCCCCCGGGAAGCCGAAAGGGCAAAAAACTTCCCGAACCCATAACCTTCCTGCTGGCCAGAACCAGTGCTGGGACACCTCAGACCCCCAGACTGCGCCAGTTCTTCTTCCCAGAACGGAGAAGCCGCCTCTGACAACAGGCACGAGTCGGACCTGGGACAGAAGCACACATCCCCCAGGAACCACGAGGCCCTCCGCCAGCCAAAACACACCGAACATCCAAGGGCACCCTCCCCAGACTGCACGCGCGCACCCAGCCCAGCAAGCACGAAGAACGCCAGGGCACCCTCCTCGAGCCGACCTCGACCTTCTGCCCCGGTCCGGCTGCACGCCCCACGCCTCCGAAGGGGCGGAGGCCTTCCAGGAAGGCCGGCCCCGGCGCCCTCGGCCGCCGCCGGAAGGCCCCTCGCAGGGGGCCACGTGCGAACCCTACCCCCACCCCCCACGACTTCTGAGGGGGAGGGTGGGGTCCACTTCGCTCGGGAGCTCCCGAACGAAGGGAGCTCCCGAACGAAGGGAGCCCCGCCCTCCCCCTCAGACATCGTGGGGGGCAGGGGGCAGGGCTCGCATGTGGGCCTCGGCCGCCGCCGGACGGCACGAGGGCAGCGGGTCCCGGAGGGACCTCGGGCCGCGGACCCCGCCGCACTGGTCACTGCACCGGCCTTGCAGGCGCGCTGCAGCGGATGTGTGGCATGGATATCGGCCGGTGCAAGGGCCCGAAGCGGCGAGGGAAAAGCGAAGTGAACTTCGCGTGGGTTCTGTTTGGCCTTCCTTCCTGGCCAAACAGAACCCGCACCAAATTCACATCAAAGTCCGGAACGAAATTCTCCAGGACACTCCGGGCCCATCCGATCGTTTTCCGAACAAAGTCCGCTCTGCGAGGTTGGCGCCAGGACACTGGCGGATCGCCTGGGAGGTACACCTCGACTAGGCAAGCACATTATAATGACAAACCTCAGTCGTTCAACCTGTCTGTTCAGCCTCCACGCTGGTTGCCTGGTCCCCGCCGCCGTCTGATCCTCAGTAGTGCTCGCGACAGTTGGCTGAATCTTACCTTATCGCTGCCTCCATTTCCGCCGCCATCAGATCCTCAGCACTGGTCTTGCTTTCGACCTGGGGCATTGCGTCGGCCATATCGTTCCTTATCGCTGCTTCCATTTCCGCCACCAACTGATCCGCAGCAGCGGTTTTGCTCTCGACCTGGGGCTTCGCATCGGCCGTAGCTTTCATCATCGCTGCCTCCATTTCCGCCGCCAACTGGTCCTCGACAATGGTCTGGCTCTGGACCTGGGGCTTCGCATCGGCCGTATCTTTCCTTATCGCTGCCTCCATTTCCGCCACCAACTGATCCGCAGCAGCGGTTTTGCTCTCGACCTGGGACTTTGCATCGGCCGTAGCCTTCATCATCGCTGCCTCCATCTCCGCCGCCAACTGGTCTTCGTCAATGGTCTTGCTCTCGACCTGGGGCTTCGCATCGGCCGTATCTTTCATTATCTCTGCATCATTATCCACCGCCGCCTGACTCGCAGCAATGGTCTCGCTCTCCACCTGGGACTTCGCATCGCCCATATCAATCTCTGCCTCGGTCTTCTCCACTTTACTTATCTCTGCCTCCATCTCCTTATCCAACTCATCTGCAGAAAAAGTCTCCCTCTCGACCTGAGGCTTCGCATCGGCCGTGTCCTTCATCACCTCTGCGTCCGTCGCCGCCGCCGGCTCATCCTGAGCAGTGGTGTTGGTCTCGACCTGGGGCTCAGCCTCGGCCATGTCCTTCTTCACCTTTGTCTCCGTCGCCTCCGCCGGCTCATCCTGAGCAGCGGTCTTGGTCTCGACCTGGGGCTCAGCCTCGGCCATGTCCTTCTTCACCTCTGTCTCCGTCGCCGCCGCTGGCGCATCCTGAGCAGCGTTCTTGGTCTCGACCAGGGGCTCCGCCTCGGCCGTGTCCTTATTCACCTCTGTCTCCGTCGCCGCCGCCAGCTCATCCTGAGCAGCGGTCTTGGTCTCAACGTGAGGCTCCGCATCGGCCTTGTTCATTGCCTCTGCCTTCATCGCCGCTGCCTCATCCTCAACAGGGGTCTTGCTCTCCGTCTCCTTCGTCTCCTCCGTTTTCTCAGTCGTCGCCTCCTCTGCTGGCTGCGCCGTCGCAGACGTCGCAGTGGGTGCCTCTGACCCCACCATTGCCTCTGGCTCCGTCGCCGCTGCTTCATCCTGAGCTGCGGGCTTGGCCTCGACCTCGGGCTTCGCATCGGCCCTGTCCTTCGTCCCCTCGGCCTCCACCGGGGCCTGCCCCTCCGCCCCGGTGCGCGCCGGCGCCGCCTGCTCTGGCGCCCGCGCCTGCTTTGGCGACGGCGCCTGCAGGGCGCGACAAGATCTACAGGCAGCTGCTCCCTTGCCGGGCCCATCCCAAACCCGGCAGCGGTGCATGCGCCACGCCCTGCCGGCTCGGCCAGGAGGGCGCACTCACACAGCGCCTACGAGTTCAGAGCGTGGGCCTGGCCAGGGAGCGGCCGGCGGGTACAGCCCTCGCCTGGGGTCGGGCGTGTCCCCCTACAGGCGGATTTGGGAGGAAGAATCAAACATAGTCAAAAATTAGCCTGACGAGGGACCAAACCATGTGCAGGTGTGAATACCGCAATAGTGATGCACTTTTTCGGTGGCGATCCCTATGAGGCAACGAACCGTGATAGGGGTGCGCCAAAATGAGTGACGTGGTACACAACGCGAACAAAAACGATTGATCTGAGTAAGTAGGGAGACTGAGCGCGGGTGAATCTGAGCGCGAAGGCATCTGACTGCGAATGAATCTGCGTGCGAGCGAGTCTACGTGCATGAATGCGAGTATGACAAAGCATGGTGAAATTGTACATGAATGTCAATAGTTTGAGAATGACTGCCTCTGAGTATTCGTGACGCTGGGCGTGGCCGCCGCAAGGAGCTTCCCCAGGACTCCCCGACGGCATCGCCCGCGCGCCGCGACGCCAATGTCGGCGAGCCCCCCCGCGAGGATAGCGCCCGCTTCCTCCCCTTCTTATACTCCCTCGTAGCCCGCGCACTCAAAAGTCCAAGGCTGCGGGCGCAGCGCAGCGCGGAGTCCCCGCGACGCGCGCAGGTCGCCCCGGAGGGGTCCCAGCGACGCGCGCGGGTCGTCCGCTGCGCGGAGCAAAGAGAGCTAGCTGGCTGGCTGATAGCGGGCAAGGCTCTTACCGCTGGGCAGAGCGACGACGGGCGAGCGAGGCGCTGGGCAGAACGCAGCACGGAGTCCCCGCGACGCGCGCTGGTCGCCCCGGAGGGGTCCCAGCGACGCGCGCGGGACGTCCGCTGCGCGGAGCAAAGAGAGCTAGCTGGCTGGCTGGGACCGTCGGTGGGGCTCCATATAGGGCCACGAAACGCTTTACTGGGAGAGGGAGACGCATGCGGACTGCGCCACGGGGACCTTCGGTGGAGTTCCCTATGGGGCCACGGAGTGTGTGAGGGGTGTGCCGAAATCACTGGCGGGGTTGCGCCACTGGGACCTTCGGCTGAGCTCCTTTGGGGTCACGAAACGTGTGAGGGGTGTGCCGAAATGTGTGTGCGGGACGCATGCGGACTGTGCCACGGGGACCTTCGGCGGAGCTCCTATGGGGTCACGAAACGTGTGAGGGGTGTGCCGACATGAGTGGCGGGGACGCATGCGGACTGCGCCACGGGGACCGTCGGTGGAATTCCAGGAAACGCGTGAGGGGTGTGCCGAAATGAATGGCGGGGACGCATGCGGACTGTGCCACTGGACCTTCGGCGGGGCTCCTATGGGGTCACGAAACGTGTGAAGGGGTGTGCCAAAATGAATGGCGGGGACGCATGCGGACTGTTGCGCCACTGGGACCCGGCGGAGCTCCTATAGGGGCCACGAAACGTGTGAGGGGTGGGCCGAAATGAACGGCGGGGACGCATGCGGACTGTGCCACTGGGACCCTCGGCGGAGCTCCTATGGGGCCACGAAACGAGTGGGGGGTGAGCCGACCTGAGTGGCGGGGACGCATGCGGACTGTACCACTGGGACATTCGGCGGAGCTCCTATGGGGCCACGAAACGTGTGAGGGGTGTGCCGATCTGAGTGGGGGGGACTCATGCGGACTGTGCCACTGGGACCTTCGGCCGAGCTCCTGTGGGGCCACGAAACGTGTGAGGGGTGTGCGGAAATGAATGGCGGGGACGCATGCGGACTGTGCCACTGGGACCTTCGGCGGGGCTCCTATGGGGACACGAAGCGCGTGAGGGGTGTGCCGACATGAATGGCGGGGACGCATGCTGACTGTACCGCTGGGACCTTCGGCAGAGCTCCTATGGGGCCACGAAACGTGTGTGGGGTGGGCCGAAATGCGTGTGCGGGACGCATGCGGGCACACCCACTGGGACCTTCGGTGGAGCTCCCTGTGGGGCCACGAAACGTGTGAGGGGTGTGCCGAAATGTGCGTGCGGGACGCATGCGGGCACACCCACTGGGACCTTCGGTGGAGCTCCCTATGGGGCCACGAAACGTGTGAAGGGTGTGCCAAAATGGGTGTGCGGGACGCATGCGGGCACACCCACTGGGACCTTCGGTGGAGCTCCCTATGGGGCCACGAAACGTGTGAGGGGTGTGCCGAAATGGGTGTGCGGGACGCATGCGGGCACACCCACTGGGACCTTCGGTGGAGCTCCCTATGGGGCCACGAAACGTGTGAGGGGTGTGCCGAAATGGGTGTGCGGGACGCATGCGGGCACACCCACTGGGACCTTCGGTGGAGCTCCCTATGGGGCCGAAACGTGTGAGGGGTGTGCCGAACTGTGTGCGGGACGCATGCGGGCACACCCACTGGGACCTTGGGTGGAGCTCCATATGGGGCCACGAAACGGGTGAGGGGTGTGCCGAATGGGTGTGCGGGACGCATGCGGGCACACCCACTGGGACCTTGGGTGGAGCTCCTATGGAGCCACGAAACGTGTGAGGGGTGTGCCGAAATGGGTGTGCGGGACGCATGCGGGCACACTTCGGGAGCTCCCTATGGGGCCACGAAACGTGTGAAGGGTGTGCCAAAATGGGCGTGCGGGACGCATGCGGGCACACCCACTGGGACCTTCGGCAGAGCTCCTATGGGGCCACGAAACGTGTGACGGGTGTGCCAAAATGGGTGTGCGGGACGCATGCGGGCACACCCACTGGGACCTTCGGTGGAGCCCCCTTATGGGGCCACGAAACGTGTGAGGGGTGTGCCGAAATGGGTGTGCGGGACGCATGCGGGCAGGGCACACCCACTGGGACCTTCGGTGGAGCTCCCTATGAGGCCACGAAACGTGTGAGGGGTGTGCCGAAATGGAGGAATTGAGGAGGAGGGGGAGGAGGAGGAGGAGAGGAGAGGAGGAGAGGAGGACGCGGGGCACCGTCTCTTCAAAACGAGGACCCAACACCACTGGATGGTTGGGAAATATGCAAGAACAGCGGACAAATTCTCAGCAACACAGTCCCCATGCTTTTCTTGGACTCTTCTTGAACACTCCTCCTGCAGAGGGACGTGCCCGACGCAGACTGCGTCGCCCGAGCCTGCTTCGCTGGCACGTCCGCCGCCGCCGCCCTGCCGTCCCACTCGCCCCGGATGTACCTCTGAGTATCGTTCAACCGATCCCCGTCCCCGGCGGCGTGGCTGGGGCCCCGCTGGCCGATTTACCCCCCTAAATGGGGATCTAGGCCGTCCCCTTCGGGCTTCGAGGGGCGTCTCCCCAACTGGGGTGGTAAGTTGGTGGAGGTCTCTCGAAAGGATGGGGATGGGGACGGGGATAGGTTAAACGATACCGAGTACCTCCGCAGCTCGTCCGGGGTCATCTCCCGGAGGGGCTTCAGGCCCGGGCCAGGCGCCTGGGCGTCGCGCTCCGCCCTGCAGGTCCTGGGGCAACCTGCCTTGCTCTGGCGGTGGAGTTCCTCCTGCACGTCCTCCCGGCTGGAGTTAGCGCTCAGGGTGGGGAACCAGTCTGGGTGCGCCACGATGCCCTTCGTCGTCACCCACGCGATGGCGCGGTTGCAACGGTCCCAGCCGTCCGAGCCGCCCTCCACCATGTCGTGGCAGCTCTTGTCCGTCATCTTGGCGGTGACCGCCTCCGTGACCAGGCCCGCTTCCTTCATCTCCGCCCTCTCGGCAGTTGTCACCGCACACGGCTTCGGGCAATTCGACTTGCCTGTGCTGTTGAGCATGGCCTGCACGTCCTGGAAGAGAGAATTGCGCGTGAACCCGGGGTACCAGTCCGGGTGCCTCGTAAAACCAGTCTTCATGAGGTACTTCACGGCCTCGTAGCAGTTGCTGCCCGCCGCCGCATCCTCGCAGCGGGCGTGCGAGTCAAGCTGCGTCCCGAGCAGCTGCTCCTCGCCCCAGGGCTTCAGCACGGTGGCGGAGTTCTCCAGGCCGAGCTCGTCCACCAGCCACAGGTTGTGCCCCAGGCGCTTATCCTCCTGGTTGCGCAGCGCAGTGAGTGCCGAGCCCAGATCGAACAGCGCCGCTGGCACGAGGAGAACTCGGATGGAGATTGCCATTTGCAGGCAAGATCTAAACAGGTATGAAGCTAGTGTGACGGACAAGTCGCCCGCCTCGGGCTCGCGGGTCGGAGGCAGCGCTCGAGCCGAGATGGCAACGGAGGGAGAATATAGAGGATCCAAGAAACTAGACAACACACAAACTTCTGGAGGGGAGCGCGGATCCCTTGGATCCGCGATGGCAGCCGCCCGAGCCGAGCTGCGGGCGCGGCGGGCCCCCCTCTCCTGATCTCCTAGGGGGCCGTGCGCTTCAGCGCAGGCGCGTGGCTGTTTCACCGAAGCCCTTCAACACGACGCTCAAGGACATACACACCCCTGCTCAGCGTTCAGAATATTCGAGGCTCGAAAAATGAACTTCACTCCAGGCGTATTCTTTCAAGAGTAGCCCGGGTCCATGTGCACGAAAGTTCTACGAGCAAAAGGAAGCACCAAGAAAACGCCCTGGATCCAGTGCGGATTCCTCATTTTCGAAAGCAAAATCTGGAGTCCATGAAAGTTGCAATTGTTTCTTAAAGTTGCTGATGGGCGTACTAGTACTCTGTGTCCTCCTCGGAGGCGTGCGTTCAATCCGAACAGATCGTACAAGCAGCTAGTAGTACATCGTTTCCCGAGCGGTATGGCCAGAAAGCGCCCGCCACGGAGCTTATACCACAAGATTTCTCGGCGCGCACGTCGCCCCAGGGTGGGCGACGCACACATAGCATTAGCATGGTAAGGTGCCGCCGACTCAATACGGACAGGCCAGTGCAACGAGGGCTGACACAGGATGCATATCATCGGCGGAGCTGAACGGGGTACACACAGACTGGGCTGACACGCGCCCTGAGGATCATCGACCCCCCCAGGCCCCCCCGGAGCTCACGAGGCACACAGCGGACTCCAGAGATGAACCGCACCCCCGCCCAAAGAGAACGAAGAGGGGGGCGAGGAGGGCGAGAAGGACGAGGACCCCGCCCTAGCCTTCCTCGCCGCGCGTGCGGGCGCAGAAGCAGGGGCGCCGTCATCCCAGAGCCCCGACGCCATGATTCCTTCATGACGTCGACCCCCAAAGGCCTCGACCCATTCGCCGGGACCGGTCTCTCATCCTGGGTCGTTCTTGGACGGCCCCAAGGCCCTGCCAGGGCCCCCCAACACCAACAACGTAGAAAAATCCCCCGCCGTGGCTTCGCATGGCCCGAGGGGCGCTGTCTTCGCCTCTCCCATCCCCTCGCCTGTGGAGGGGGAGGGGGGGAGGAGGAGGAAGAGGGGGAGGAGGAAGAGGAGGAGGAGGAGGAGGAGGAGGAGGAGGGGGACACGAAGCCCAGGGAGGCAACTCCAGGCCTAGACGCGCTGCCGGGCAGCACTCAGGGCTCTGGTGTGCACGTTGTAGTCGTAGGTGGTGTCTGCGATTTCGTGACGGATGATGTTGTACAGGTGGTACATCAAAGCTATGCGCACTGCCGCCCGCTGAAGCTCATCATCCTCGATCTGGTCCTCCGGAAGCCCGAGGCCGAGACGGACAATCAGTCGTACGGAAGGGATCCATCTGGGGAGGGAGACTACATGCCAAGCGCGCGGGCATCGCAGGTAATGGCATACGTCGTCCTCGGCCTGGCAGCCGAACCTGCACGTCAGGCGCTCGTCTAACACGTGCATTCGGTGGCTTGTCGGCCATGCTCCAGCCAAGGTTTTCACCACCGCCCAGCACACCCCAGGCTTCAGGGTAGCGAGGGTGGCGCGAAGACGACGCCACCGTTCCTGGAGGTCTCCGGGTACCACCTCGCCATCTTCAGCCGGCCATTTCTCCAATCTCTTCCCGATGGTGACGTCGAAGGAGTCGTCATGAAGCTCCTGGGCCATGGACTGGTAGATCGCCTTCTGGACGGGGACGCTGCCGCGTCCCTGGGAACGCCTCGCGTGCTGCTCGATCTCCCTCCGGGCCTTGTTGAGACTGGCTGCCGCGCGAACGCCGTTACGACGAAGACGAGCGTGAGGGCGCGCCGAGAGGTGGTCATCGAACGTGTGGACCATGGCACGCTCTTCCTTCCAAAACGGAGCAGGCCACAGCCCCTGTACCACCCGTGTCGCCAAACCCTCCTCGAGCGCATGCTCGCGCAAGCTCTCCGGCCATCTCGGCCACTCCGTCATGGTGACCGCCGCTGCGCGCCACATCGTAGCGAAGGACAGGGCGAGCATCGACGCGAAGGACGTCATGGACACCCAGCGCCGCATGCTGAGCAAGTCGTTTCTGGTGAACGCCTTGGGAGGGCAGCGCAGGACTCGATGTAAACCATCAAGTTCGCTGAAATAGAGCTTGGGGTCTAGAACGAAGAACTGCATGAGGTAGCTCAGTACGGGCAGCGCCGCCGAGTTGTAGTCGCACACGATCACCTCGTTCGGCGCCGGGCAGTCCCGGAGTAGACACAAGCGCATGTGGTACTTGCCTGCCGCCTCCGCCCACTGCATTTCGTTCGTTGCGCCCGGGCCGAGCTTGACGCCCAAGCATTCCATGAAGCTCGCAATGCTGAAGTCCCCCCATCCCTCCATGAGAGTGCCCAGTTCCACGCGGAGAGCAGCAGCGTCTGTATCTGACAGGGTGCCCCAAAGCGGAACCAGAACGCATTTCGACGGCTGGAGCTGGAGGCGGGCCATAATCGACATGGCCTCGAAGTGCGGCTTCAAACGTGTAATGTACGCGAGGGCGGTCACGATCAGTCCGAGGTCATCCGCGCAAGCCGCTAGGCTGCCGCAGCGCCAGCGGAGGACATGCCGGTCGCACTCCATGTTCATCCTGGCGCTCCTCGCCATGTCGTTGCTTGAAGGCTCGATCAAGATCTTCTGCATGCCAACGAAGAATGGGTTGAAGGCCAGGGCCCATAGAGTGCCGCTAAGGGGACACCCCTGCGCTACGCCAGAGTCCAGAGGGCACAGCACGAAGAGTGTACCGCAAGAGCGAACCCAGCAACACTGGTCAACGTACAGCGCGGAGGAGGAGGAGGAGGAGGAGGAGGAGGAGGAGGAGGAGGAGGAGGGGAGGAGGAGGAGGAGGAGGGGGAGGAGGGAGGGGAGGGAGGAGGGAGGAGGAGGAGGGGGGAGGAGGGAGGGAGGAGGAGGAGGGAGAGGAGGGAGGGAGGGAGGGAGGGGTGGGAGGGAGCTCTCGGGACCTCCTGCGCCCCTCGGTATCGCGCGCGAGCGAGCCGGAGACCTCCGCCCGCCGTGCGGCCGCGAGAGCGAGCGAGCCAGACCTCCGCCGGCGCGCTCGCTGTCGCAGCGCGGACCCCCGGAGGACTCGAAACTCAGGAGGAAACTCCCGGAGGCCTCGCGCGGCAGCAGGAGACTCGGGTCGGGCGTGCCCCCCTACAGGCGGATTTGGGCGGAAAGATATACACCATACTCCAAAGATGCCCCAGAATAGCCAAAAAAGATGCTCAAGAAATCGTGTCCCCTGCCTGTGTTTTTGCTGTTTTTGAAGATTCCTCCTGTAGAGGGACATGCCCGACTTAACTTGAGACCCGATTCACGTCGGATCCACGTCGGATTTACGTCGGGTTCACGTCGGGCTGCGTCGGAATTGCGTCGGAGTTACGTCGGACTGACGCCGGAGCATCGCCGCGCAAGCGTCGACCCATAGCTTACGGAGCTGACGTGTGGACTAGATAATACAAGTACTACGCGCCGCGCGAGGCCTGCAGGGTTTTCCTCATAACGAAACCTTCCCCGGGACCAGCTGGGGGACCAGCTGTTGAGGGGCAACGACAGGGGGGATAGGGATAGGGGGAAGCATCGACCTGGAATCGGCGATACATCGCCGATAGATCGGCGACAGGCCTCCGACAGTGAATCCGCACCCTCCTGGCCAGGTTGGGGCTGTCGGGCCCCTATCGGCGATCCCTGGGCGATTGGGGGCCGATGCATTCCCCCCTGTGCCTAATTCCCCCCTGTCGTTGCCCCCGAGCTGTTCAGCCCGAGTCGTTCTTGGGGGGCGGCCCCCGGGTCCCGTCGGGGCCCTCGGGCGCCGAAGACTGCCGCAGACTCCCCCCCCCCCGCCGTGATTCCCTGCGTGGCGCGAGGCTGTCCGGGGAGCGCGGGGACGACAGCACAGGGTAAAACGACGCGAAGATCGGGACAAAATCGGATCGGGATAACTCGAAATCTCTGAGAATCGGCGGGTTTGGAGGATGTATTGGGCGCCGCGGCCGCTCCAGAGCGTTCCGGAACGCTCTGAGAGCGCTCCGGAACGCTCTGGAGCGATTTATCCCGATCCTAGCCCTGTTTTACAGGCCCCCCCGGGGTCCTCTCGACGGCCTCCTGGGGGCCGGCTCCGTCTGCCGGACCGGCCTGTGGCGGCCCTGGGGCCCGACGACACCCTCCCGCCGCCGAAAACAGAGAGAAAAAATAAGAGATACACATATATATATATATATACACCTATAAATATATATATATATATATCTATATATATATATACATACATATACATATATATATATATATATATACATATACATACATACACATATACCACAAAAAAATCCGCCTTCCACTGCCCAAGACGCTGGACCCAGACCCCCGACGTCGCGGTCTCTTCACAGCGTCGACCCCCAGGAGGTCTGGAACCCTTCCCTGGGACCCCGGCTTTTCCTCCTGGATCGTTCTTGGACGGCCCGGGGGGCCCCCCGGAGGCCGAAAATCACGAAACACCTCCTGGCGTGATTTTTTGGGAGGCCTGGAAATGAGCACCAACACCAACACATAGGATTGCCTCCACAGGGGGAAGATGATCCTAGGTTTCGGTGTTGGTGGTAATATTTCGGCCACCTTGGAAGCCATAATATGACCACCATCACCGAGATCGGGATCGTCTTCCCTCGGTGGAGGCATACCGCCGATGCTGGTGCTGGTGTCAACCTCTAGGCCTGCGACTTCTTTCACAACGAGAGGGGGTCTGCGGAGAACGGCGACGACGACCTCGGCGACCCCGCGGGCGGCGGCGGGCCGCGGCGGCCTTCACGACCACGTCGCGGGCTCTGCCGCGGCCGCCGGCACCTGCGAGAGAGCCCCAGCAGACCTCCCGCGGGGGCGTGGCCGCCGCCGCGGCGGCTGTCGGCCCCCCCGGGGGGAAGGGTCGTCTCGGCTGGGTGGTTATGGGCTCCTCCCGTGGAGAAGAAGCGGTTGCCTGACGACGACGACGACGACGACGACGACGACGACGACGACGACGACGACGACAACGACTACGACGACGACGACGACGACGACGGACCTCCAAATCCGTCCAGGGGGGTGACCTACATGGGGGGTGAAGCAAAGAGGCCTACAAGGGGGGACCTTGCAGGCGGCCCCTGCCGGGCCCCCTGGCCCCAAAAAAGACCCCTGAAGGGCCCCTTTTCAGGCCCCCGTCTTCGCTCCCGCCCCCCCGATCGCCGATGATCGGGGACCGAAGGGCGGCCCCAGGGTTGGAGAGCCTGCCAGGGAGGGCCCGGGGGAACGGTCGGGCACCGGTTCTGCTGTGGAAAGCGCGTGACGCTCCCACACCAGAAACTCAGAGGACGTCCTGGGGTCTCAGGGTTTTGGGTCTCTCGTGGAAGGTTTCTTGTGGTCGGGCACCGATTCTGGACGGCCTTGGAGGTCCGTCGTCGTCGTCGTCGTCGTCGTCGTCGTCGTCGTCGTCGTCGTCGTCGTCGTCGTCGTCGTCGTCGTCGTCCTCGTCATCAGGCAACCGCCTTTATCTCCACGGGAGGAGCGGGAGGAGGAGGAGGACGAGGAGGAGGCGAATTCGAGGATAGCCCCGGCAAACAATAGAACGTGGCAGGGCGAGACAGTGGCAAGCACGGACAGAGCAAGCCAAATGCGAATGTGTTGCGACCTTTGGTAATGAAACTGCGCCAAAGAGAATCCGAGTCAACCGTGCCTTCGACCTCCTGCGAGCCCCGCCAACTCAGACGGCAACGGGGAGAGCCTTCCTGCAGGGACGCCGCAGCTCCCTTCACCGTGAGGGAGATGTGGTCAGTCTAGCGTCTGCGACTCCACATAAATCAGCAATACCCACGAATTTTCTTGCACACCCAGCAAGACGCACAAGATGGGCACAGAGGCGTCTGAAGTTAAATCGAAGGCTGGTTCATGGCCTACCTTTGTGCTCGAGACCCCTCGCCCGGCAAGTCCTGATCTGGACCCCCCGCCCACCTGGACCCCCCCACCTGGACACCCCACCTGGCCTCGGCAACCCCACCGTCTGGACCTGTGGTCTTGGGACCCCCGGTCCGCAGATCCTTGGCTCCCAATCGACCGCATTCCAGACCCCCCCGCCGACACCCTGGTCCCCTGGGGCCTCTGTTCTTAGGACCCCCCATTCGACAATGTATGGCGCAAGTTCGACCACGTCCTAAATCCACCCTCCGACAACCTGGCCCCTTGAGGGTTCTGTTCTTAGGACCCCCGACTTGACAACTCGTGGTCCCGAATCGACCACTCTCTACCCCCCCCGCTGACACCCTGGCCCCCTTGGACTGGGACCCCGACCCGACAATTCCTGGCTCCAAATCGACAACGTTCTGAACCCTTCCGACAGCCCCCTGGCCCCTTGGGGCTCCTTTCTTGGGACCCCCAACCCGACAAATACGAACTCATAATTGACCGCGTCCAAGACCCCCCCGCGAAAACACCCTAGCTCCCTGGGGTGTCTGTTCGTGGGACCCCCGAAACGACGACTCCTGGCTCCAAATCGACCACGTTTGAAACACCCCCGCCGACACCCCGGCCCCATGCGGCCTGTCCTCGGGACCCCCGACCCGACACTTCCTGGCTCCAAATCGACGGCGTTCTGGACCCCCCCACTACTACTACTACTACTACTACTACTACTACTACTACTACTACTACTACTACTACTACTACTACTACTACTACTACTACTACTACTACTACTACTACTACTACTACTACGACTACGACTACGACTACGACTACGACTACTACTACTACGACTACGACTACGACTACGACTACGACTACGACTACGACTACGACTACGACTACGACTACGACTACGACTACGACTACGACTACGACTACGACTACGACTACGACTACTACTACGACTACGACTACGACTACGACTACGACTACGACTACGACTACGACTACGACTACGACTACGACTACGAATACGACTACGACTACGACTACGACTACGACTACGACTA